AGAAAGAGCTCATGGAAGAGTTCAGATTTGGTCAGCAGCAACTTATTGAGATTTGGGGCCACGCTTGTGCCATGGCGGTCACTAAGGTGAGTTTATTTGAATCCATTTCCTATTTTAATAATGTCTCTATGGAAGCATCTATGCTGTACATAGAAATAATTTGACGGCCACGACTCAATGTTTTGGCATCCTGGGAATTATAATTTGCTAAGGTCTTGAGTTTTCTCTGCCTCGATCGAACCGATTTATATTTTTCCGTGGATCTCTCTTCTCCAGGTTTTCCCCCGGAGGTCCCTCCCGAAAAAGCAGCCCACGCTTCTGGTGGTCTGTGGCTGTGAACAGAACGGCGCCATTGGCTTGGCCTGCGCCCGGCACCTGCGTGTTTTCGTATGTAACCTTTTCCCATTTGAGAACAGTGTAAGGAATGTCGATATAAAGATTTCCTCACTCCCTCTTTCTGTATTTGTGCCATTTCAGGAATACGAGCCCACCATCTTTTACCCGAAACGGTCCTCAAATCCCCTTTACCGAGACTTCACCACCCAATGCGAGAAAATGGATATTCCCTTTCTTTCCTACTTACCCACAGAGGTGAGTGAAACATTTATAATCTCCCCAAATACCCTCCTTTTTACATCCTCCGCTCATTTCCTCTATCTCCCATCTACATCTTGACATCCTCCTTTTGTTTCTCAATCTCCCATCTATATCTTTACACCTTCCACTAATTTCCTCCATTTCCCATCTACAATTTTACATCCTCTGCTCATTTCCTCTATCTCCCATCTATAACTTTACATCCTCCATTTGCTTCTCCTTCTCTCATATACATTTTTACATCCTTCGCTCATTTCCTCTGTCTCCCATATACATCTTCACATCCTCTATGTCCCCTCCACAACTTTACATCCTCCATTCATTTCCTCTATCTCTCATCTACAACTTTAAATCTTTCAATCATTTCCTCCATCTCCCATCTACTTTACATTTTCCATTCTCTTCTCCATCTTCCGTATGTATATTTACACCCTCCGCTCATTTCCTCCATCTTCCATCAACAACTTAGCCACTTTGAGTCCCCTTTGGGGAGATAAAGCGGGGTATAAATAAATAAATA